CACTTCGTGAGTTCCCAGCAACAGCAGTTAACCCAATAAACGCCCACAATCAGAATTAATTGTACAGGTGTGTGCCTTGGCTTTTTTCCCAGTAGAGGGAGAAGTTTGAAAAATCTGAACAATGACCACAAGCTTACAAACTTACGCTGAAAACTAATCTCAGTTTCTGTGTTTACAGGACTCACACAAAGCAGGGTATCGCCACATGTTGTTAGCTGAAATATTAATTGCGCATGTTGGCAATGAGAGTAAACTGTGCAGCACTTTGAAATGGCACTACAGGAAAGTTTCCTTTTGGTACTTATCTATAAAAATAATTAATGTGATCATTATTAAACTGATTAGTTTGGTATGGGCGGGGAGCCAGGGCCTAAAAATCTATTTTGCCTCCATGGCACACACTGTCGTCTATTTTTCCCACAGATTTCAGTCCTCTAACAGTTGTTTCTTGGACTCAGGTCATACTTGATAGGGCTGCCAGCCAAATGTACAAGATTATCTTTTCAACATAGCAAGCTTTATTTTTATGAATGTGTCACTGGGAATAAAATGAGTCCAGCTATGTTGGAAGCAAAGTCACTCTACAAATAGCAATATGGTGGCTTAGCAGCCACTGAACTCTTCTGGCGGGTTGGGAGAATTATGTTGTTATTTTTTTTCGCCACCACAAATATAAGGAAGCTTATAGGTTCATGCTCTGGGTATTAACAGAGGGATTAGTGAGGAGGCTTCTGGGACGCTCAAGTCCATGAAGCACAGAGCCGCAATCTCTTCATTGTTGAGTTATCTACTTGATGTAACACAATTAACTATTTCTTTCAAGTGCAGTGAGGTCTTATAGACGCAAGATGGAAGCGGATTTCAGTGGCAATCATTCTTTATGTGTCGCATCTAACCTGTTGTGGCTGTGCAAGTCCTGTGTGAGACAATGGTGAGTCTCTTCCGTTGTGGACCAAAACAAATTCGCTGATAAGAGGCAGTTGAGTCTGCCTCTGTGAGATGCTCGACAGATAAACTGTGAAATTGGACAAATTAGCCGTATGAGCTAGCAATCCTCGCTGTTTCTACTGTGTTGACCTAAATGAAAATAGTGTGGCTTATTGTTAACAACATACTGTAATTTTTACAGAACATTGGACATCAGATCAACGGAATGCAAAGGTAAGACGACAAGTTAAATATTCTGTGAAACAATGATCAAGTACTGTACTTAAGTGATTTGCTAGCAATGGCAAAAAAAAAAAAAGACTTCCACCTGAACTTCTCAGAGGGTTTCAACTGTTCTGACTAAGGCCCGAAGACATAGAACAGCTTTAAAAGATTATAGAGAAGTGAGAGAGAAAAGGATGAAAAGAAACAGAACTTTTTTTTTTTACCATTTTTCCTCTTAAGCATTTAAATGATTCTTCAGACTTATCTTGTGATCCTTCAGAGTGGGCTCGAGCCCCAGGTTGGGCACCACTGGATTAAACTACCTATTGTAACTGTAAAGTATTTAAAATTAGCTCCACCTTGAGCAGCTACAACAGTGAAATGCTGCTTACACATTGATGCATCAGTATTAACAATCTAATAATGTAATACTTAACAATATAAGCCAATTTTCCTGCAGAATGACAACTTTTAAAATTCTACTTTAAGTATATCTGACTGGTAATAGTATTTTAACTTATTTTAAGTAAAGGATCTGAGTGCTTCTTCCACCACTGACAGGCCGTTTAAGGCTACGTGTCTGTTGCTTGAGTGTATGGTGTTGCATATTTTATGAGTTACCTTAACTGAAACTTTATGTTTTAAGTTCCTTCCTCTTTCCCCTAAGACTTCAGGAAGCTGAGGGTTTTTCATTTACACCATTTACGATAAATCAAGAAGGGAATGCATACAGTCACGTCTGCTTATTTTGCCACTTGACCAACTCCAGCCCCCTCTTTCTCCCCATACCTGCTCTTCAAAAGGCTGTTGACAACATTCAGAGCAGCTCTTGTCTATGCTGCCCATGTTTGTGCTCTCTAACAACAAAAGCACTCTGACACTTTGTTCATAACAGCCATGTCAATTGAACTTCAAAGTGGCCTTTCCCAGCAAGCACAAAGCAGAAGGACACAGTGACGGCCAGTTTATTTTCTGGGTAGTATCACGCTATAGTATGATGGCTCATATTAGGGTTCAATCTGATATCTATAGGCCACTTATTCTTATTCTTTTTTAATTAACAATTTCTATTAGTTTGTTATTAATTAATACAAGAACAATTTGCTGTTTCCCACACATTTTATTCTTGATGAAATATTCAGAGACTCCACGGCACACTAAAACACTCCTTTAAAATACTCACTAATGTAATTCGTTTATAGTTAGCAGCTCCATTACGCATTATTGCCCACCCTCTCTATTTAGCCTCTGGGATACTTAACAGGAATCAGTGAGAGCAATAAACTATATCTATTTTGGTAAAATAAAGTATTAATTTACAAAAATTTCAAATTGAAGAAGGAAAAAAATGCTCAGCAATGCTTTTATGGATTGTTTCAATGTGGAGAGAGCAACCTGCATTATTTTGTTTCTGATATTTGGGCCTGTACATTGGCACACCAATAAATCTTTCTACTCCTTGCTTGTATAATGTATGATTCTATTCCTGCTGCTTCAGTAACCACACAGACTGCTGCTCTGCAGGCTTTTCTCTGTACTTCAACATTGTGCATCTGCCGCTATGTCCTTGTTCTATTTTGTGTGCTTATTCACAAATATCATCCTGTTGCATCAGCTATATCTGACTTCATTCCCAGTGTCCCAAACTCTGAAAAGCATCTCAGGGTTGTGGGTCTGCTGCTGCCATTCAAGACCTGTTTTCACAGCACTCAACCTGTCTGACACTGCTGGGAAAATCCCCTTCACACACATACCTGCAACACCTGCCTGGAACCTCCATCTGTGTTTATTTTGTAAATTCATAACCCCTCACAACACATCGGGAAGAATGAATCAGTTATGTTTGTTGCCACAAGGCTCTTCAGTGCGAAGGTGCGGCTCTAGAGAAATATTCATGCGGTAAGGATACTTTTAGGGGTGGTAGGAATATATATCAACATTTGTGACTGTTGACCTATCCACCCCAACCTCCTCCCTATGTGGACTTTGTAACTGTATAATAATGTCACCTTTTCTCCTGTCATAATTACTAGAGCTGCTAGAGGGCTTAATAAAAAGTAATAAACTATATGGTGGATAGTGTACATTTACATTTGACTACTTTTACACTATAAACAGGTATAGTCAGTATTTCCCTACCAACATGGATTTAAAACTGCAATTAGACCGGCCTGTTGGGAAATAACAGAAATCTAGAGAAAATATAGCTGAACAGTTTTTAAGCGAACAATGTGAAAAACACAAATTTCATCTGTGTTTGGCGATGGGGAGACTTCAGTATTTCTAAAATCCTGGCCTCGGCCCTGCTCCACCTCTTCCTTGCGCTGTTACTAATTCTTCCAGTAAAAGCTATTAACTAAATGAGGAAATATTCAATGATCCAACCGTACATGCTTTATATTCATTCAGCCCTATGTAAAAGAGAACTTTAATAGGCTAATATGAAAAATAATATTCTGCCTCTGATATCATTTTAGAAGATAAGAAAAAGTAAAATATGGAACGTGAAGGCTTAAAACGGGACCTTGGCTACATTTCTCTTTTGATTTGCTCCTTTGTCTCTTGCCAAGAGGGTGGATTGTCTCTGGCTAATTACTGAAGCGGGGTGTCCTGCAGTGATGAAATATCACTAAGCCTTACAGTAAAGTTTGTGCTCAAACAGCATCTTAGAAAATCCCTGTTGTCATTCTGTAAAACCAGCTGTCACAGTGGAACACACCAGCTTGCGTAATACGATGTGATCTATGTGTGGAATACAAATGTAATGATCTCAGATGGGAGCAAATGCCTTTAAACTCCGAAAGACGTTTTTTAAATAAGATCAATAGCAAGGGTAAGAAGTGACTGACACGGTAAAGAGGGCAAATATCTAATAAAGCGAAATGTCAGAAGGTAACAAAATATCCAAAACTCACACATGAGAATCAAGTGTTTAAGGACTAAGCTAAAGTGAAAGTGCCTCTGAGTGATTTACATACATTAAGCAACATCAAAAGGACTCTTTCCACACCTCTGAGTCATTATTACTTCAAAAGCTTGTTTCTTTCACTATGTAAAATTAACCATGACTACCTACACTCTCACCTGAACAAGAGAAATTTGACCCTGCTGTTGTGACATTAGGTGGCAAACACAAAAAGGCTGCTGACCTCTATCATCCCTGGATGGTTTTTTTGTTTTTTTTTGCTGCAGTGGGCTGAGGAAATACAAAGTCTCATCAGTCTCCTTTGAATAAACCACGTCATTTTTTACTATTGTGTACTGTATATGGCTATCCAAACAGCAGGCTTCTGTTTGAATAACCATATAGCCGGCCCTGCTGCCCTCACATGTTGTGAAGGGAGGGACTGCTCTGACAACATCTCTAAAAACAAGTGCTTTTTCTCTCCTTCTCATAATAAAGAGGTGTCCATGTAGAGGCAGTGTGCATGGATAACTAAATATGATTTAATAACCTACGATCAGACAGGTTTGCAGAGACAGTCCGTGCCACTAATATTGCAAAAAGGCCTGTTGTTACCACGGAAACCATGTTTGGCGAGCGTGGGAGATAAATTGCAGCAGTATCTCTCTAATAATAATTTCTATTATCTGCGCTGGATGTTTAGATTATCATGTAAATAGGGGGACGTGCCAGGCGACAGCAGGTAGGAGCTGAAGGGCTGGTGAATAGAGGACATCAAATAAAACAGTTGAGCAATCACCACATGTGGGTGTGCCAAGAAAGACGCAGTCGAATAAGGTAAGCCACAATCTCTCCTTGTTTTGAGTTACTTTCTTTGCAAAAGTATTACAACAGGAAGTGTGTGAACTGACAGACCACCACTGCACACAAAGAGGAAGCTTGCTTAAATTGATGGTAGTTCTTTTGTTTCGCCACATTCCAGTGAAGAGGAGGGAAAAAAAAACTCCCCCTTGCTTGGTCACTGGGTTATAAGAGTTGAAATTCTGTCACCTTACTCACTGTGATGTGATGCAGCTCTTTACATGAAGGGTAAGGAACTAGCTTTTTAATTTTTAATATCATCAAGTTAAAATATTTTCTCTTTGTATCCATAGTTTTTTAGATAATACAAATTTCCTTCAGTCTTTATTTTGTATTTTCTTTATAATAAGATGCAGGAATTAGATACAGACATTGTTTTGATGACAAAAGCGTGTTGTGAAGCTGTGCCAGCTAAAGCTTCGAGACACTCATTTCCCTGGTGTAGTTAAGTCATTATGTTTATGAGGGTCATCATTTCCACAACTTGTCCAGTATTTGTGCATATATTGAGAACAGGGGCTGGGAGTTAATGATAAAAGCATCATTGTACTATATTTACGACACGGAGGAAGCAATAACACAGTATTACGGTTTGTATACAAACCCATGTGCCAGACCAAAACACTGACTCCTCATTAAGAGATAATTCAGCTCCACAATAAACTCTGAAGTAGGAATATAGAAAGAAATTAAGAGGGAAAATAGAAAAAAAAGAATGAGGGTTTATCTCTGGCTTCGTCCCGTGGTCTTTCAGCTTGTAGGCTAAAATTTAATGTATGAAAAGTATAGCAGTGCACTCTTAAACCAAGTGTCAAAAATGGACACTGGGTCGAAATACTGTGCTGTGCAGTGTGGTAATCTCTTTCCATTCTCTCTTATCAGCAGAGCTCAAAGCCCTCGAGGAAACGATGAGCGTTGGTTTATCGGTGGGGACAGGAAAACCACGCTGTCTCACCGGGTTTGTTCCAGGCCGCTGACCCAATAAGAAGCCTTCGTCTCCAACGGTTCTGACTGCCTGACAGATCAAACCTCCCTCTGCTGCAGTGTATTCATTCCCTCCAGAGCCAAGGACATAATGTGACACATCTCAACTCTTAACTGACTGACTGACTGACTAACACCGAGGCCACCATGCAGGAATGCCACACTGGGCTGTGTCTGTCTGTCTACATCATTACCTTTGTCTTGGGCTTCCCGGCCAATGTCCTCGCCTTCTACACTTTCTGCAAGAAAGTGAGGCAGAAACCCACACCGATTGACATCCTGCTCCTCAATCTGACCATCTCTGACCTCCTCTTTCTCCTCTTCCTGCCCTTCAAGATGCAGGAAGTTATGAACAACATGCTCTGGGACATGCCCTATGCCCTCTGCCCACTGTCTGGCTTCATCTTCTACATGACCATCTACAACAGCACCTTCTTCCTCACTGCGGTCAGTGTTGAGCGCTACCTGGGTGTGGCTTTCCCCATCCAGCACTCCCTGAAGCGGCGACCTATGTATGCTGTCGCCGCTAGCATCTTCTTCTGGATTTTCACCTTCGTCCACCTGAGCATTGTGTTCATCATGCCATTTATCGGCCCTGAAAACTCTCCAAATACCACCTTAAGCCACAATGACTCAGCTAGCTCTGCTACTGAAGAGAAAAAGAGGGAGGTGTGTTATGAAAATTTCACTGAGGCTCAGCTGAAGGTCCTCCTGCCAGTGCGCCTGGAGCTCTGCGTGGTACTTTTCTGCATCCCTTTCCTGATTAGCAGTTTCTGCTACATCAACTTCATCAGGATTCTGTCCAAACTGCAGCACATTGACCGGCGCCGGCGCCTGCGGGCCATTGGCATGGCACTGGGAACGCTGCTGGTGTTTGCTTTATGTTTTGGCCCTTATAACGTCTCGCACATTGTCGGTTTTATTACATGGAGAAGTCCTGACTGGAGAGACAAAGCCCTGCTCTGCAGCACCTTTAATGCTTGTCTAGACCCTCTTATTTTCTACCTCTCCTCCTCCGCTGTAAGAGGGACTGTGGGTAGCATGATGGAAGGGGTTAAAAGTCGCCTAAACAGGTGCATGTCCTGTCACATGTTCAGGGCCCTGCAGGGGACGATTAACAAGACTGAAAAAGATAAGGGGCACAAACAAGAGGAGATCAATACTATCTAAGCTGACTGAAAGGAAGCTGTGAGCAGCTGCCTTCACTAATTTATTATTTCTTCATCCCTGGAAGCAGGAAATTAATGACGTGTTTATGTTTTTACAAATAAGACTATGACATGGCATACTGTATACAGTGCAGTGTGTCCCTGTTTGACTCTCTGATGAACTTCCTAATTGGAAACAAGACAAAATAAGAAAACGTCTGTCTGTCTGAGAAGGCCACAGTTTTTATGCAGTGTAATGTGTAAAGCCACAGAGACAGGCTACTTTGACCTGTCAAAGTTAAATGACAAAAAATTCTTACATAACAGCAGGATTTCACAAGATCTCCTTTAATGCGGTTGCAGGTGTTGTCGAGTGCTGCAGCACAGACGCCAACAAAATGAATATCTAAGCAACAGCTTCGGACGTCATCTCTGAGCAATAAGAGATAAAGCTTTCCTTCCAACATGCTTGTTGTCAGATACTGTGGAAAAAAAATCGAACTGTGAAGTGTGAGATATGAAAGAAGATTCAAGCATGTTGAAGAAGATCTTGTGTTTGTACAACTTTACAAAAACATAGTTTGCAGCTAATATACAGTTTGCTTTTTATGTGAACATATATTTGTATATTTGTGTATTTTGCTTTTCTTATGCAGATTTTAGTTTACACAATTTTATATTTATACTAGCATTTGATTAGAAAAAATATTATTGTCATATGATATACCCAGTCATATTTACACCATATTAGGCAGTATACATGTAAGAATATATGTATGAATGCATGTAAGTTATGCTTGAAAGCTGTATAACAGGGGCTGTAGTAATATAATACAAAACGTAAAAACAATATTTTCATAAACAAATTATATAAACATATATTTTACATAATTTATGACAGTTAGGCAAACTTATTAGGTGATTCTGTTTGTGTATGTATATTTATGTGAGCATAGATGACAGCAGAGGAAAGAAAGTGAACCCCAGATATACTATTTTCATAAACAAATCATACATTTACGTCATTTATGACCAAAAGATTGTTTTGTATGGGCAGCAGTCAGGTTCAAGGTGATTATGTTTGTTTGTGTGTGTGTGCATGAAAGAGGAGAGATAAGGACTAATTTGTTTTTTTAAGGGAGTGACGAACATGAACGTAAATATCCACCATATCCACCAGATCAAGGTCATGTTATTATATGAAATGCATACCTCTTTTATATATATAATGACATTCATAAAAGTAGTTTTAAATAAAAATAAGGATTAAGTGTGAGCAATAGCAAGTTTATTGAGCCTTTTTTTGACATCACTAATCTGGTTATAGTGTAGATTCATCATCTTGCTCTAAATTTAATGGTCATTATTACTGGCTGCATTTGGCACTTTCAGCAGTGTGGGCAGGCCTAAATATAAAATGAACTTCCTCCAACACGTGAATCAAGATCTTACCCCACACACCTAAACAATGCTATCACACAAGTGTTGGCATCGACCGTAATCCTGTTTTGAGAGGATTAGGCCTGCGTGGAGGTTGAGCTGATCACTGTATCTGTTTGACAGGTGGATCATGCATGAAGCATTCATTTTGACACACAGACCCGGGTGAATGACTAAGATCTGCGGACTACCAGCCAGTGACACAATGAGCAAATTCAAAAAACACGCTAGTCAGCACGACACAGCGATAAAGAGTTACAGAGATAAATAGCTTTGATTTGCAGAAAGAAATCGGCATAGCATCAATGTTCAGAGGCGATGCAGTACGTGAAAGCCAAGCTGAATATAAAGCAAGAGGTTTAAAAATGGCAGACACTTTCAAATATGATAGAGAGAGAGAGAGAAAGAACTGTTAAGACAGAATGATTCCTCATTTTTCAGCAATGACTTGATTTGTGTGATGTTGTTTGTCAAGGGTTGGTCTTCTGAGATGAGCCACACTGTTCGGTCCTTTTTTTTGTTTTCTCTCCTATTTCATTTTGTGTTTCCTGGAAGACAATAATTGGTTGTTGCGTCAGTGTTGACTTTTTCCAACAATGTGTGATAGGTCACAGGGATAAGGCAATAAGAAAAACAGCCCTGTGTGTGTGTGTGTGTGTGTGTGTGTGTGTGTGTGTGTGTGCGTGCGTACATGATGTGTTTGCCAAAGGCAGAGGAGAATATTGTACTCACATGGCCCACATCATTTTCCCTGCAGGCAGAAATGTTTGACTGCTGTAGAGCGCAAGATCACATAAATTAAACATTGTTTTTTAACAACTTCCTGTAATTCTTGCTAAATGGTTTACTCACTCACCTTTCAATAAAAACACGACTATCACTGCAGAGAGGAAACACATCTTGAGAATATTCAAGTGTACAATCAGCTCGTTAGGGGAGGCATCTGGAAAGTAGAGCAAAAAAAAAAAAAAAAAAGCAAACACTGATTAGCACTGACTTATCATGTTATTGAACACGACAGAATTAAATCAGGAAGGTTGAACTGGCTTTGGTTGATGGACATTCGCCTCCTCCCTGGGAGGAGAGGTGTTTAAACATTGATTGGGAAAATCATTAATTTGTTCAAGTATGCAGTATTGCAGGCAATCTGTTGCCATGGAATGATCGATGTCTGACCCACATTAACAGTCAAGTAGGGCAAACACTGAACAAGCGACTTGTGGTATGTGAGGCCCTGTTGTCCCTGAACTCTGTGTCAGTACGGTCTGTGTTATTTGGAAGGAAGTTGCCTATTGACTAGCAAAGAGGAAAGAAGTTGTTTCGGGTGTCAAGTTCGAGAAGTAAAAGTCCTGTTCATTTTCAAGGTTAGGTGAATAGCAGCTGGTGCAGATTCAAGCCTTGGATAAGCATGGAAATCTTCTGGCTGAATCACGAGATTAGAAAATATTTGGTTGCTTGATAAAAAGTCAAGGTTACAAGCCTGTTTACATAAAAACTTAAAGTTGTTCTTATCGATATTTTTTATATTAATAATGAAACTAAATGACTGTGTGTAGTGTGAAAGGGGTTGCCTGTAATGATGAACCCACACAGTATATAAAAAACTCTTCAGTTTTCTTGAGCTCTACTGCGGTTTTTTAGTGACCTTCAGCTCATTGTTTCATTTTTCTTGCCCACAACTCCCCTGTTATGGTTTATCACCCTCATTTTCAAACACAGCATGCAGCTGTTTTTAGCAAAACACTGATAAAGCAACTGTATACTACCTTTCCAGCACCGAACAGTAGACAGACAAATAGCAACTACAGTCAACATATTTTAGGGTTTAGCAGTTAAAGAGTCAGATATTTCACCAAGCAATTGACCACAGCAGGGCTTCAAAAAGTTATCAGACACTAACATTTGTCATAGGGCCATAACCATGACTCCAAATGAATGCTAATGTTGCTGCATAACTGCTGGATGTGTAAATTAGAAGCAGTTGCCATCAAATGTTGTTATGAACTTTTTTCCCCACTGTCCAAAAGTGGCCAAGAAATCTGTTATTGCAGGTTAGGGGAGCAAGTCAACTTCCAAGGTGTTTTTCAGCAGGCGGAAGCTAAAGGTTACAGTTTCTAGAAACCTGGTAATGCATGCTGCAGTTTAAATAAGCTCTAATAAGATTCTGTTTCAGATTAATTCAGCAACTATGTGTGTTGTTTTCAGAATTCCAATGACATGTGCTCTACATTTATTACAGCAGTGATTTATACCTCTGACAGGCTTCTTCTCCAAAGCAAACAGTAGATATCGTAATGTTTAGAGCCATCTGTCATGTTCTCAGAAGCAAAGTTAAATAATTAATACTAATAAGTCAAATTTTTTATGTTGAAAAACGTTTAGGATATCATTACAAGAAAACCTCCTAATGGGAATTTAAACTGATTAAAAAAAAAAAAAAAATAGTAGTGCCTCCAAGACAAATTTCTGCTGTATAAAATTATCATATTTGGAAAATGAATTGATTCTCCGCATTTATTTACCCCAAGTGAAGGAGGCGGTCAGAGCCATGCTCATGGCAGGGTGGTCCTGCACCCAACATGTGAAGGTGATTCCTGTGTCCAGAGACTGTTTCGGTGGGAGAAAAAACACACTGAAGAGGTACACTTCCTTGCTGTGGTTGTCTATCACCTGGAAACACTTTGGCTGGTTCAGAGGTGTGGAGTTCATCAACCAGTCTGAGGACAGCAGGGCTTTGTCATCTGGTTGTGTAGACAGGTTACCGTGAGGGTTGATTGCAGAAAGGGTGCAATTGGTGACTGACAGGTGATCGATATCGGCTGTTGTGCTCTGGTAGGTCCAGGTGAGGGTCAGCTCGCTGGGGTGGAATCCCCCGGTGATACAGAGAAGAGCCCACTGACCAGTCTGTGGGTCCGGGGGAATCTGGAGGTAAATTCTGGGAGCAGAAGGTGGTGCTAGCAGTGAAAAAGAAGTCAGAAACAAAGTAAACACATCAGATGAGATAATTAAGGCTGGTAAATTAGGTCACTGCAGTAACAAATAATAATATACAGCAAGGGAAAATAGGATAGAAATATTTATTTAAAAACAAGAATGAATTAAAGAACCAGTGTGTAGGATTTAGTGGCATCTAGAGGTGAAGTTGCAGATTGCAACCAACTGGATATCACTTGCCAACATGGAGGAAGAGGACCCGCTCCATTTATAGTTAAAAAAAGACTAATTCTAAGGTAACAAAAGCAAAATGATTCTTATTTTTAGGTGATACACGAATGAAAACATACCTATGAATATTATATTCCATCTTTACCAACAGATCTGCCTAAATGTTACACACTGGAACTTTTTAGATGAAATATGTTGATGAAAAGTATGAAAATACACAAATAAAAGAATGTTTGGTGCACAAATGCATAAAGAAAACACTGATTTAATATAGTACAGTACAAAAATGAAAATGTACACTAAATAACAAATACAAAAAGCCTTCATAATTGAAGCATAATTTTCTAAACTGCTCTAAATTATCCTGCAATCACTATCGCTATACTCTACATCTGCTACTACTTCATCTACTATTACTATGTTTGTACTGTATCTCATTTAACAAACAGTACAAAGGGTTTCGCCTATAACACATTAAAAATCCCTTATTATAAAATGAATTGTAAAAAAATCAAATCTGCAACAAAACAGTTCAACAATAAAATGGGTAACAACATGCAATATCAATTGCTATTTGGTGGAGGCAACTTTGCATCCAGAGAAAATCAAAAGGAAGCTTTTCTTCCGCATGAAGGATTTCCACATAATAATTTGGCCATTTCTCCCTGCCTTGTTTTCTGGTGAGTTTCAATTCCCTGGGCAAGATCGATACAAGGCACTGCGCATGGTGCCGGGGTGATTATTTCTAGATCTGTCATGAAACTGTTCAAGCAAAAAGATGAACTCTGAGGGAATTTCACATGACTTGAATTTTTATAGATTGAGCCTGGCCGTTTCTTTCATGGTGATCCATGGTCCACCTCAGCACTTGTATCGAATGTGCCTCACACTAAATGCTGTGGCTCCGGCGCACAAAACAGATACAAATGAGACATAATTACTAGCACAGCAACATTGCCCAAGCACAGCAACCCAAATGAATTTCTGAAACGAGCAATTTGTCTCTCACCCAAGACGACCAGCTCGGTGCCGTTGCCCCACTCTGGGTCTTTCTGTAGTACGTTCACCTCGCAGTAATACCACCCAGAATCCTCCAGTGCTACCTCAGTGATCACCAGGGAGGAGGTTTGATCCTTCTCCACAACGATCTGCCTGGATGACTTTGAGATGAGCTGCTTTTCCGACTTCATTTTGAACCACTGAACCCCATACTTGAGGGATTCAACTTTGAAATGACAGGACAGGGTTGCCGTTTCACCCCGCATCACACTGAGAGAGGGAGGGTACTGTCTAACCCTCAGTCCCACTGGGGTCGCTGTCAGGGCTAAAGACAGAGCCATTAATACAACGTGTCATACAAGGAACTTTTAAAAAGTGCAGAGCAGATCGTTGGGTCAACTACAAATACTTTAAATGTGTGTTTAGTATTCCTGGATGACAGCTGGGAGCGAGGATTTCCACACAAAGAACATCAGACAGAAAAATCAAGCAACCAGAAGAACAAAATTGGAAGCCAATTTAGTATAATTTTACAATGCACCAAACCTTTATTTAATGGTTTCCAAAGCGATAATCTCCACCTAACAGCAATTTCTGTTTTCCAGAAAAAAACTAATTCAGACACACTCGAGTACAAAAGATTTCAAATGCTTTGGAATGTCTGTTTGATTGTAGTGACTTGTCTAGCTCGTCTAGCTAAGTGTGATGAAGTGATTATTAAGTGTGCTGATGAAATACTGCAGATAAGATAAGCAAAACACTCAGTCGCTCACAACTGGAGTGCAGATGACAAAGAAGATCGGCAAACACCAAAATGATGGTCTAAAAACAGGTTGCATCTCTCTGTGTTCTACTTTTGTGCAGGAATAAAGAGAAGAAGCAAGGTTTTTGCACTAATTAAATACATTTTTCATTCTTGGAAGTAGTATTTTGCTTACTTGATGTTGTGTCTCACCGATTATTGTCAAAGATGGTACATTTTAAGGAGTTATAATATTAATATATATGTGAAAATATATTGTTTTTTTCTAAAATGACATATCAAACGTTTAAAACTGATACACAAAGAAATTAAGAAAAAAGACAAGCTTAACAGAGATCTTAAAAGCTAATAAATGAACCTTGGGTGACACTTAAAGCCAACACATTTTGTAACATGATTGACTTGCATTCAGACTGACCTGGAACTTGGCCTGCAAACAAAAGAAGCATACACAGTGGAGGCAGTTTTGCCATGCTGCTGTTGCTCCCCACTCCAAGCTTGAGTGGTGAAATAATTTCTCAGGCACTCTTAAGTCTGAAGCTGGCTGTGCTTTAAAATGTGATGGTGTCAGCGTGTTTTCTTTGTTGCACTCTATGGTTAGAGGTGATGGTTCATTAATAGGTCATTCTTCAACAGAAACCTGAAACTCAGAGACTGTTGTTAGGGTGAAAAAACTACATATGTCAGTGTCTTGGCAAACAAATTGGCACTTTGTCTGCATGCTGACAGAAACCACAGTACAACACTGAACAAGTGCTGCTGCCGTCACTCTACAAGATATTCTACAGTGTAAAGGCTCTTTAAATCATAGGTTTGATGTGTATGTTTTGAATTTTGATTATAAGTAAATACATTATGTTTGTGCAAACATCGTGAGGCCACTAAGGTTTTTAATTACAATCTGAAACAAGTGCTTATTAATAAAGTTAAAACATACCCTAACACTTAAGTAAACAAAAGAGACATGCAAGTTTAAAAATGTGAGTTCAACAACAAAACTAGAGGATCTACTCTGTAGAAACACTTACAGATGACTTAAAGGGGCATTACGCAACTAATTAATTCGCTTTTTGTTATTCAGCAGCGACAGAAATGACCCAGCTTAAACGATATAGTCACATTTTTTTAAACAGAGAACTATTCCAAATAAGAGAGCATTGCTCAGAAAGCAAGCCAAAAATGTCAGAGTGAAGGTGAAGTAATCATTACATTACAGCGACCTTTTAGTTTTTTAGTTTCACGTCCTTTAAAATGACAGTACTTCCTAATACATTTTTTGGTCACAGTACAAGTAACGGTCAGTGTCACCTTTTTAGTACATTGCCCTCTATTGTATACCAGCCTTATGTACTTATGCGTATAAATAGCACATGTAAAGCACCTGCATGGGCTAATGCAAAGTCTAGTGTTACTGAATCCTCAGGAAGTGTATTTACACTCTTATTTCACACTGGGTTGTTTTACAGCAGAAATTGTTATTTAGATGTTATTTCACACAAATTGGAATATAATAAAACTTTTTCCAGCCTAGACTTAATAAATTCGTCCTCCCTGGACAGATTTAAACAAAGGAAATACTGTTTGAATTTTGTTATTACAATTAATTAGAGCAGATTGGCTCCCAAAACCCATTATCACTTTGTTTGACAATAAACGACTAAACTTGTGAAGCTGTGTTGAAGTTGAGGATGAGGAGACACAGATGTTTGTCATTGACAAGAGGAGGACAAGTGGAGAGTTTCCTCTTGTGTGAATAAGGCCTCTAATTACAACCCAGCTACCAAATGAACCATGAAAAACTAGTTAGAAGTGACTCATTTTCATATTAATGATTGGTAATGACTACAGATCATTTTACAGATCATTTCTATTGTCACTCACTAACAACATTTATTCTCAGTCATTTATTCTGACAGAGTCTCATCAAACCAAACATTCAGACATTTTAATAAATAAAAAGCCCTCAGAGACAAACCTGCAAACACAACAAAAGCCGAGGCTCTTTGCTCAGCAGGAAGCAAAAAGCAAACTGAAGCAACTCGCCTGACCTCGCCTCCTTTCCAACCGCAGGGGCCAACAGAAAGAGCCCCGCTTCTAGCAACAAACCACACACAGTGAGTTCTCTTAAAAACAAAACTGACTTTTATTTTTTTGTCTCCCTCCACTTGATATGATTTTTAACTCCACTTCATGGATTTTGAAAAAAAAAAAAAAACACACTCCGAAATAAAAGTCAAGAAGACAAGTTCAGCAACTAAACGAATCAAAAAGAAGTACAATCATCGCTTCACAGCACTGAGCATCTGTCAGGGTGGGAGACAAATGTTTTGTTCCTTTGTTGTTTTTTTCTGCGTTATGTGTTTACATCGATGAGATCTTGAGAAAAGTAACGATTGCCTGTAATTCAGGTCTGTGTTATAAATGAACCAAACATGCCTGCCCTGTGCAGCTCAAAGAATACACGCACGCACGCACGCACGCAACCACGAACACACACACACACACACACACACACACACACACACACACACACACACACTGTTAGATGGTAGAATGTGAAGCCCCTTGAATTACTCATGCTCAGTGTGGAGCTCAATACACATTTGCACATAGACACATGGGTACACACACTCACATACACGCATACAAGTACAGCATTTAAATCAGCAACGGCAGAGTGGGCAAACCTGGGGTACGGAGGGGTGGGAGGGCAGAACTTTTTGCAGGTTATAGCCACACAAAAAGACACGGAGGACAGGAAGAAAGAAGGAACTGTGTGTGTGTGTGTGTGTGGTGTGTATGTGTAGAGAGAGAGGGGAGAGGAAGAAGAAGAAGAAGAAGAAGGGGAGAGAGAGAGAGAGAGAGAGAGAGAGAGAGAGAGATGGGTTCCACATTCGACACTAACCTAAGCTAACTCATTCCCTCAATTATGCACGGTGAGTTTTCTCCTAGTAAAATTTGTTATTAGTTTCCAAATGACACATTTTCCATTACCCTACAGTGAGGGTCCCTGCAGTCTGTTCACTCTTATTGCCCTCTTGAGGCACACAGCGCATGATCAGCCCCTATCATACATCCTGTCATGTATCCCAGCCTCCAGCACACTGTACACGGTAATAAGACACTTGTAGCCCACACCGGTGACTTCACTGCAGCCCGGCGTCCCCACCGTCTCATAACTGCAATATAAATCAGCACAAAAACACCAGTTGGTGCTGTCACTTGTGAAAGAAATCCAAGTTTCTCCTGTCAGCCCTCAACATCACAACCAATATTTACCCCCTCGGTTGATTGACAAGGAAAACGCCAGGCGTGGGCTTGTGATTCAGAGAGGCCAAGTAATGGGACTCTTTCTATGTTGGAGATGTGAGGTGGGCGACTTAATGACTAGGGGAGACGCGGTGGGCGAGATGCCTCCATTGTGTTGCCTGGTCGATGCGAGCGTTTGCTGTTGCTCAACTGGTGGAGTGCAGCACGCTGTTAATTAGCCAGACGCTCCATTTCTTAGAGAGGTGAGTGATTGACAAGACGCCATCTGTGGTCGCAGTGAGGAAGAGGGCGAGGCTGGTGGCTCTGTGGCCCAACATCTTTACTGCAATCTGAGGTTTTAAATATATACAGAATACCTGAACTGAATGATATCTACTTAACAACTCTCGGCTAATTACTAACACTAAACACAGCATTAAAACATTATCTATCTATCTATCTATCTATCTATCTATCTATCTATCTATCTATCTATCTATCTATCTATCTATCTATCTATCTATCTATCTATCTATCTACAGTATCTATCTAACTGTTTCTATGCAACAACAGCAATTAATGAGCACTAATCTAGCTATACAGAACATCTTGCAACGGCCAGGTGACTGTTTAAATTAACAATGATGTCATTTCCAACACCTGAAGTGTCCTCGTGCCCAATGTTATTGAGACTTTTTTCGTCACAATCCTGTCTAGCATGCTGTATACTAATGCACTCATTAGCTGTGGTAATGGAAAAGTACTGGGCCTTAATAGACTTGCAACACTGACTTTGCCCAAGAGAACTGAATGAGCCTGTAGATAGTTGGTAAACAATGGATAATTAGGATAATATATGGGAATTAGGCATGCTTTGCTATAAAGGACGTGAACAGGGGATTTAGAACAATGATAATCATTCATATATAATTGTCACTCTGCATAGCATATCCTTTTGGTATACTGACTCTGGTGCTGCAACGTCTGTGTCTCACATTAGTAAATTTTAATCTGTTACATATAATTTCCTATAATATTATAATGTGTGTATTTTACAACCAGACGTAAGACTCTAGATACCAAGTGTCAATAGCTGCTGACACTGGCAACTGAAAAATATATAGGTTACATTTCTGTCATTAATAATATAATATAATGTACCATAGCAGCCGGTAAATTATATGTCCAGGGAGCATGTTTGTACTATATTATGCAGCAAAACAAACAAGAAATACCAACCTAGACTGACTAGAAAAGAAAAACAGGTGATTAATCCTTCATTCGCTGGATCTGACCCATAGCTCTGAACACATAGTTTACTGAGCTGACATTACAGCTTGCCCAAATAGTTTCAGAGAAGGGCTTAAAATCGATGCACAATTAGGGGTGTCTTGTATCAGGCATGATGAATTATGCTCTCTGTTCTAAGGCTGGTCTATAGACATTTGATCAATTCAGCTTCTGGGGACCTGGTAAGGCAGGCCGGGGAGCAATTGCTCTATTCCAAAGCCATTCAGTCGAATGTATTGATTAACCATTGCATTCTGAATTGAAAGTCTGTCCGGGATCTGTTCTATAAGGGGAGGGTGTTGTAGGAAAGCCGGACCCTGCCACGTATAAAATGAAGAAAGCAGTACATTCAAACCTTCTCCAGGCCAACTGTACACTTCTTTTTACTATTCTACAGTCTTGGCTTTAAAGCACCATCATTATTTTACTATATCACTGCATCAGTTCAGGAACAATGTGCTGTGTCAGTCCTTATAACCTAAAGAGCTCCATTACCTGACTCTTCTCAGCAAAGGCACCGTGCTCAGTGACCGTAAATAAAATGTATTTCAAAGTATTTTACAAACCCTGTTCCAAAAATCCATGTCGCAACACTGCACTGATATGTTAACAAAAATAAAAACAAAACAAAAAGTGTCTAATTATTAACTATATGAATTCACCTCCTTCTCCAGCTATCACCTGTGTAAACTCATTAAATAAAATTTGCCACGAACAAACTAAAGTACAGCTATTAAAGTGCAATATAATGCTATGTACTGTAAACTATGTTCTAGTTGTGTAAGGTCTAAACAACAACTCCATGGCACCTTATTAACAAAGATTCTGTAAACAGATCATCATAACCTTCAGCTGCAGGAGCCAATCAACACTTTCTCATCAGGGTGCGCCGAATGTAATTAGGGGCCGAGCAAACGTCTTGTTTATATCACTGTAAACTCATTGAACCCCAGTTGGGGTGTTATTTATACACTTGAAGTAGGCCAGACTGTGTTTGTGATCAAGGCTATGTTAATGCTATTCATATTACATAGTGCAACCATAAATAGTGTGTGGTACACCTTCTCTTGGGAGCGCCAAAGTTTGGAAATGCAATATGAGCGCCTGTCTATCTTCTTCCCCTAAATGGAGAGTTCAGTGTCTGGTTAGTGTCATCCCATCTCCCTCTGGCTCTCAGCTTTTGGATTTGCATTGTCAGGGTATCCTCCCACAGGCCCGTGGGGCCGGGTGCTCTCTCGACAGCATCCTCATCTACACTCCAATTGTTCACCCAGGGGATCTGTGGCCTCCTTGCCCACACCCTCTCCAGTGCCCCTCTATCACACCATAAGTGTGACTCATTTACATACATCATGACTCATAAAAACATGTTCTTTTGCTGTTTGTTTGTACAAATGCCCACATTCTGTTTATCACCACTCCATGATTTCAAGTCATATTGCCCAAATTCCCCTCCATCTGGACCCTTAACCCATAAACCTGAACACAACATACAATGTTTGCTTGTTTTTTTTTTTTTTTCAAAATCCACCCATACATGAACATTGACGTGCTTTTTCAAACCCACATTGAGAAACATGACAGTATGTTATATTTTTGTCCGTGGTTCTTTTTTTTTTATGTTTTCTTCTGTTTTTTTGTTGTTTTTCTTCATCAAGGACAGATTATGTACATACAGATGTTATATGCCACTGACAAATCCAGTGGGACGCTGACATGGAACAGTGTACAGTATGGGAGTGGGGAACAAAAAAAAAATACAGCATTAAAGACAGATACTGAGGAGATGAAATGGTGATTGAGACAGAAAAAAGATGCACTGACCAAACGACCTGCTCTTGTGCTTGAAATGGAATCCGTCATTATAGGAGCAACAACATGCATGCACAAACAGTGTGTGTTCTGTCACACAGACAACCCGACTACATCGCAGAGGGCAAGACTTTTTGAGTACAACATGTAGTGTTTTAGATTAAGGGCCATTTAAACAGAGCTTCACAATCATTTCATAGTACTGTACACAGTAATAGTACAACAACAGACTGATTTGATATACCTTGTTAATGGAAATTTTTCAGATATTACACCACAGCTTTAACCATATCTGATACCTCTTGCACAGTAGAGTTAGGGGTTATTGCTGGTTTGAAACAAAACACATTCAGACAATTGATTCAATAATGAGTTATTCCCCTTTAAGGTCGCAGTAGTCAGGGTTCAGTCGGGGTAAACTCATCTCTCCGTGCAGGTTCATTATGGCAAATTTGCATATAGTCGCTGCATGTGAGTGGAACAGTGTTTCAGTGGAGAAACCGTAGAGCCACTGTATTGAAATATGGGCTTACCTCCCACTGTTTGTGCTGTGCGGGGGAACTGGATGGATAATTGTGCCATGGGGGTTTTGTAGTGCCCACGCCTGCATGTCACAGGTACACATTGGAGGGAATACTGGTGCACCAAGGCGAGGTTGTCCTTGAAGAGGATTCCTGTCAGTGGCAGGATTGAGCTTGATTTATGGGGGCCATCACTGGCTGGCAGGAGGGACAGGTGGAGCCCAGGCTCCTTCACTTAGCCAGCCACAGGTAATGGCTAATTACATCTTTATCTCCCTGCGGTCGGGCTGAACAAGAACCGACTTACGGCCACGACCAGAGACTGACATGGATCCAAATCATTTATCTAGCTGATCGGAGAGAGACACACTATGATAAGTGGACAAATATGCTGTAAATGTGTGTGTGTGATGCAGTTAACAGCATGAGAAAAAGAGTCCAATACATAAACTGTTACAAATTATAAATTATATCATCATTCACTGCTTCTGGACTCGGATGAAATAATCCCTCAGACTGTTTCAAATGCGTTTTTAAAAAGCTTGTCATGGCAAAATAGAGCACATCACTTCGAAAACTTTACATCTTTTTTTTGTTTGTTTTTTCATTGTAGTCGTTCAATGTGTGTGACTTCTCAGAGTAAAGTACAAAAATTATTTTTCCCACGCACGGCTCATTACCATCAGATTTTGTTCATTTTTTTTCTCACATGGAATTACTATTCATAGTTATTCAAATACTTATTAACATCATCATCATCTGTACTATTATTAACACCAAAAAAGTAAAAGCAGGTAACCTTGCAGAGCAAAACAGACACAGTGCAGGGAAGGAGGGGAGGGAGGGAGTGTAGGGAGTATGGACTCACAATAGGAACATCTCTAACCGGTACATGCTATTAACAAGCGACAAAGAGGATGGAGCTGCAGCTTTGAAACAGAAGATATTGTTGTCACTGGACAGTCTCTTGCTGCTTCAGAAAGCTGGAGCGTAGTCGAGGCTGATGGGAGATGTTGTTCTGTGCCAGGCAACTTGAGGTCGCCGGCATGGCCTCTGTACTGCATATATTTACACTGGGGAGGAAGACGGAGGGAGGAGAGGGGTGACACGGAGCAGAGAACACTATAGCGATGCGAAGGGCGACTAGACAGAGCACGTTGAACAGAGGGGCAGGGGGGTGGGGCTAAAAAGGTTTGGGTAGTGAGGGTGTCCACATGCGAAACCTTGGTATAAACCCCCCAAATTACATAAAGGGGTACTTAAGACCAACGCCGTCACCACCCACCCTTTTTTTTAATACATTTTGACATCATTCATAGCAGCTTCACTGCTACACAGTTAAAATCAAAAATCCATACGTGTGTGTGTGTGTGTGTGAGTGTGTAGGTGTGTGATCAAAGGGTGACACGTCACATGGCCACCAATTGGACAATTTTCAAAGGTCACATGACCGCCAGTACCACATTATAACTATAATTTCCATAAATATCCACCATAATATTGTGATTTAATGTATCATTTCCATAAGGCAAACATTGTAGGTGAGTCATTAGTCTATGTAGTATATTACATAAATGATCGTCCAGTTGTTAGATTATCTATTTTCTTGTTCACCGACACAATAATCATTAATGTACACTCTCTATCAACATCAGCCGAGTGGTAATAATGAGGGGAAAATAGGGTGAGGAAGGAAGTACCAAGTCAGACAAATCTGCAAGGCATTCTGGGAGACAAAAAGAGAGAGAGACAGACTGTGTGTGTGTGTGTGAGAGAGAGAGGAAGAGATAATGGCAATGATTTGACCTCGAAATTGAATTGAGGGTGCTCAGGTTTTGTGGGTGGGGGTGTGATGTGGTTGTGTGTTATGTAATGATTCAATGGCTCCTGGATTAATGCATATTCTTTTTGTTCACAGTGATGGGTTCGTAATTAAAGAATTTCATTTCCTTCTTCCTTTCCGAGAGGGGAAGAGAGGGAGGGAGGGGGAGGCGGGCCTTTCAGGGACGTTAAGGGACAATTCCAGGTGGAGCTCGATCTTTACACCTTCAGCAGAAGAAAAGCAGAGAGGGAAACCCAAACACACACGCTGACACTCATTCCTGCATGTAAACCGGTCCCTCGCCCCTGTATGGCCCCCGGTCCTGGATGAAAACAGAAGGACCAGAAGAAGAGAGGAGGTAGGGGGGGAAAAGGACAAATATGTACAGTTAAAAACATGCAGAAAGCTATTGACACTGTTAGAAATAAGTGGTCTCTGTTTGTGACAGCTTGCATATATTTCTAAACATTTCAAAATTAATTAACCAAATTAATTCTGATACCTTGGCATAATTACTGTAGACAATTGAGACATGTGTTACAATAGTGATACAGTGTTTTTCAAAATTACAACTACACTTCCCATATTCCAAGAACTTTGCACTCATTACACCATCTGAAGCCTCATTTATTTTTTTATATGATGAAAATTACTCATTTAAAATGTGTTATTAAATATATATATATAAAAATATATATATATGTATAGAAATACGGAAGGCTGTGTATGTCAAAATCATTAAAATACACTGTTTAGACCTACAGGGTTGACATTTTGACTTGTCAAACAGGTCAAACTAGTAACATTTTTGATGGCTCTGTTCCATTTAGGTGTGTCAGGAATCAAAGCTACTAAACCCACATGCACAATACAAGCACCCTGGGAATGGAGAAACTAAATGGAATGCAGCTTTTATTATTGTTATTAGTTTCACCCGTGTTAGTTTTGTGCCATTAGGCAGTATAGTAGATTTCCAAAATCTAACCTGGAGGCCAAAAATGAAACAGTGTAGAGTGGAAGCTAGTAGAGGCTGCCAATGGTCTCAGGAATGGCCTCATTGGTTGAGGGTAATTACAATAATGTGCCAATTTTGATGTGATAGCGTGTTGTTGATGTTACAATGCTACATGTGGCACCTTTTAAAATGGTAAACAAAAGAGTTACCAAACCAGGGAAACAAAGTCAGTGGAGGCAATGACAGTGAGGGACAGCATATGAATAGAAATGCCACCAAAGTATCCGATTATGGCCCGATTTTCCGTGCCTGGTCCAGAACAGAATGGGGTTTGTTGTGTTCTAATGATGGCAGGAGGTGATTAGGAAGGAAAGAGGAGGCAGAAGGACAGATGATGGAGAGATAGGCTGACAGAAGAGGCAGCGTTGGTGGAAAAAGAGAGCAGGAAGATGTATGGGTCTGACGGGGGAGTGAGTCATTGAAGGGAGACTGGCCCGAGATAATGGGTAAAGGAATGAAAGAAGAAAGGGGATAGATGAAGGACTCACTTAAGATGGTAATGCCGAATGCACTAAAGGGGGGGCGGGGTGGGAGGGTGACGGGAAATGGAAGGGTAGGAAATCGCTCATTGGGGACGGTTAATGTGAATTGGGCTTGGAGTGAAATGACAACTTCTTGCGTAACGGGACAGAGCAGAGCGACAGTCTGTGTATGTGCATGCAGGAATGTGTATGGACAAGAGATGGAGGGTGAGAGCGTGAACGAATGAGAGAGAGAGTGAGAGAGAGAGATGGTAATATAGGCAAGCAAAGCTTTAATGGGGCGGAGAATAACGAAAATGGGGAGAAGGAGGGAGGAGAGGGCTGAGAAAATGCTGTGCTGTGTGCAGAGTGAAAATGAGACAGGGCGAAGGGGGAAGAACAGTGTGTCACTGCATATGTGTCGCTTTGTGGTAGTGTGTCACGTCTGTTCAAACTCTTGCACGTTGATTGATAGTCACATGAGATAAAAGTGAGCGTACTTGTGTATTTGTGAAAGCTTGGATTTGCATACATGTGTACACAGTGTCACTGTGTGCATGCACCTGCATGTTTTGTGGGATAACTTACGAAACAGCAGCATGCTGGCGTTGGAAGCCCCCAGACGGTTTGAGGCAAAGCAGGTGTAGTTGCCAAAGTGTTTCTCTGTCACATTGGTGAACAGCAACAGCGAGCGCGTCTTCTCGTTTTTGATCCTCAGGGTGTTGTCACTCTCTACCGGCCTGGGTGGTAGTGGTGGGGGAGCAAAAGGGAATGAAGGAAGCAGGAAGAAAAAAAAGAAAAAGAGTGTGACAGAGAAAGAGAGATAACACAACATATCATCACACCTAGTGACTCAGCCCGCCTAAGAGGCTTTTTTTTTCTGTTTCTCCAAAGACGACCATGCAACAAAGTCCCCCTCCGCATATCTCACCTTGTACTAATAGTGAAATCTAACAGTCCATAAATAACAGAGACCTCCTGCTGGGGCCCATTATACTCTATTAACAGCTCTCTCTGGCTGGCAAAAGCTTTTCTAAGTACTTCTGCATCTTGCTTTGCCTGATGCCAAATCACCCTCACTCTTCTATGCTCGCTGGGACCTTTTACAAACTTGGAAGGACAGATTATGTGTAGGTAATAGAGAGCAAATAGGTTTCCAACAAGCTAATATTTCTCCAGTGATGGCAAAAACATACATGATTATCTCAGACCAATACTAATGTCAGAGGTTAGATGAATGGACGGTGGCCAAGACTCTGTCCACAGTAAGCTGGCTGAATCAGAAAATGCTGTTTATGTGTGAAAATGTCCAACTTTTTCAGATAATTTCTGTAAAGATCTCTGCCCACACTGAAATGTCAGTCGAGTTATCCTGCTGAGCCTCAGCTGGTTATATCTCTCTTATGTTTCCTCCTTTTCTCTGCAATCACCTACTGTATAATGTGTTTTTAATATTGCTGAACACACAATTCAACTGCTCCCATTAACATGTTTTCTGTTGTGAGACAACTGGTTGGTATAAAACAGTGATTTGATTGATGCTCATAAACGCTACATGTTAACCAGGCGCACCGTTATTCTTGTGCTGTGTCGCTGAGACAGTGAACAATAAATGTCAACGTCACAAATCAAAAATACTGTTTAATGCCGGCACCTATGTGATCGGCTCTACTGACATTTAAAATGAGAGCTCACAGAGTGTGTTATAGGGAAAGGTTGTCTTTTTCACTTCACAGCTACAGCCCCCCAACTGTGTCTGAGCAGGCCTGCGTCATTTTTTCGAAAGTTTTCTACATCAACACTAAAATGCAAGCCCAGTGTTTTGGGATTTTTTTTTTGATTTAGCATTGAGTGGTCTCACCTGTGGTCATCTCTGTACCACTCGAAGACAGCTGGTGGGACCGCCATGGCTTCACAACGCAAGATGGCTGTTTTACCCAATTGGGCTGGCATGTTCTTCATGTCTGTAATCATGGGAGGGTCTGGTAGTGAAAAGTAGGGAGAAAAGAATGGACAAACAGAAGGAGGGAATTTTGCAATTATTATAAATCTGCCTTCACAGAGAAGTCAAGTCAGGTCAGCCACAAGGTAACAAGGTAGAAACCCCCCCCCAGAGAACAAATTAAGATGTATGAATTCATACATAATAATGCATCTACAGTATTTACATATATTGTTAATACATCATTGTGCTATAATGTAGGAGGTCCAGTGTGAGTTGAATTATTGCCGCTGGGTTGTGGCGCAGAGAGGGATACTCACAGTTGACCGTGACCTTGACCTTGCGTTGATCGGGTGGAGCCACTCCATTGTTGGTGATGCATTCGTAGTCCTCAGCCTGCTGCCTCTTAATCTCTGTGATGTCGAGGAACTCCCCATCACTCACCAACCCAACTATTGACATAAGGCAGATGTCAAAGGTCACTATATATCAAATGCAAGGCTACTGGTTTACTACCTTGGATTCAGCTGACACCCAAGCTAAGAGCATGGGGGAGGCGTCAATGCATATCACATAACATCATAGAAATCAATCTCATGATATGCATACGACTATTGTCCACAGATAATATACGCAGCACAGAGCAATTACAATAAGTCAAATCGATGTTTAATGCAATGAACCGTGTTCCACACTCAAAACTTTTCTCATTTTGTTTGTTTTTAATTACAATTTGCAGCTAGGAATCATTAATTTGGACAACAGAAAACAACAACATGAAATGCAAATGAATGAAAAAACAATGCAATTCCACTTAAGACCTAATCAAATATCTGTAATCAAGAAAAAACTGATTATATTTCAGTCATATCTGTCACATGACCCAAACTGAGTGCCTCAAGCTGGTTTGTTCAGTAAAATAATGGGTCAGTTGGTGATTTTTTGTTTAGATTTCAAAGTAAGTAAACATGATTTGACAGCAGTGACACCATTACTTTTATAGTGTCAGGGGAAATTGTAAGCTTTGCTTCCAAGCAGTGAATACACCAGGGGGTGCCGGCTTGTTCACTACATTACGTAGTGAGAAGAATATTTGGCTCTTATTTGATGTTGACAAACTCCCAGGTGCCCCCAAAACCAAATTAGCCAGTCTCGCACTTTTCACTCTTTTTCCGCAGGCGACAAACAGCCACAGAATCTCTTCAGAGGGGAGAGTCGAAGGGACGGGCTACAAGTTATTGCTCCTTCATGTGAGGGAATGGATGTTGGGGGTGTTATTGGATCGACAGTGGCAGAGAGAGAAAGAGAGCGGAGAGAGAAGAAGAATGAGAGCGAGGGTACACCCCCTCCTCCCTGCAAGTCTTAGCAGCCAGCTGTCTCACAGCCTCCAAAACCATTAGGCCTTTTTTTTCTCCCCTTTACCCCATTAAAGAAGTCAGACTGTGGAACACGACATAATATATAATCTCACCACTAACAAGGAAATCCAGCTCTTAAATTGCAGCTCACTTTTCCCTTTCAAAGCCTCCCAAACATACACACAACCACTGTCAATCAGTGGACCTTTACTTCCCCTCACAAACACACAAACGGCTCCTGAGTACATTTGTGAGCAACACCAACGCAAACACACACACAAAAAAAAGACACTAAACGCCATGATTATTCCTGTCAGAGATTAGCGCGGCGGTTCTAATTGAAGATTATACTGGAGGATTATTAGTGCGGCTACTGAGCTGGAGACGATTATTTGCAGCTGCTGCGGCAGAGGCTGAGCAGCGAGCGACAGCCGCGGTGATGGCTGCTTGTGCCACCCGAGCGAGTGCGGGCGGGCGCCCGGGTGATGGGGTGGGGTGGGTGCAATGTTATTCACTCATTCCATTAGTCTAATAAATATAGCTCTCTTGTGACATCTCTGTCAGGCAGGCAGAGCAACCAACTTTGCCAGAGGGGGGAAGCTGCGACAGCATCAAGGGGAAAAAGAGAGAAAAAGATAGAATCAGACAACTAGCACTGGAGAAATTACACACAAGGCTGTTACAGATGACTTCCAAGAAATAAAAAGGACAAAAAAAATAAGAAATGAGAGCAACTGAGCGCTAGAGAGCGCATTACAGACACAGAGAGTGGTAATTTGCAAGAAATACTGAGCAAGAGACTGAAAGAGATACACAGATATAAAGATAGAGGAAAAAGAGAGAAACTGCAACAGAGGGAAACAGAGATATGAAGTTGGGTATTTGATGTGGTTGGTTCTTTCATGGACTTTCCATCCCCAGCACCTGTGTGTGATGTAATATGACGGCAAAGCAGCCCTCTCACTCTCCCTTACTTTCCCTCCCTCTCCATCCCTAGAGATCTCTGGACCGGCATCGCACACCTCTCTCCACTTTGGTGGGAGATCATATCTGACTGGAGCCGGCCCCTGGCACTCCTACAATGGCCTGTAAAATACAGCTCCATCAACCACTTATGGCTTTTGAAGGAGCCTGACTCCTGACCACCAGAGATAGTTGGATTGCACCTGAGAGGAGAGGGGGGTGTATGAATGAGAGGGGGGAAAAAGGATCAGGGGTTCTGGCCTTCCCTACAGTGAAATCGTGCTCTATTTCCCGGCAGCACTTTGAGCCTGACTAGATCATCAGGGCACTTGATTTCTCAGCTCCTCTTATCCATTTCCATTACAAAAACTACCGTAAAGGCAGAGAGGTCTGATGTCGGGTTAAAACAGAAGAATGGACAGGCTGACAGACTGTAAAACCTGTCATTTGAAAGAGTTACAAGGTCTGAAATGTGTGTTAGTTGAGCTAAATGAAGCTAAAGCAGAATTTAAACCAGGAAAGCCACCTTATCCCGGCACTTCCCTGTATTCCTCTGTGTCACAGACTTCCATTATTACCCAAAAACTATTAAAAACGCATCAATAAGCCACACATTATCTAATTTTGAGTCAGTCCCACATTGTCCTCCTGCTGTAAATACATGGTGGAAAATAGTTACCAATAAATATTTACTCCTGTCTAAGTGATGTTTGCTATACACAACTGTGTGTGTGTAATCATTTTTACATTTCTGAATATTAAACTGTATATTCAGGACCAGTTTAAGGGATGGATGGTCTTCAGTATGAACACATGGGCTGGTGAAGGAGAGCCAAGAGGGGTAGGGAAGTTGGAGAGACAGACTAACACACTCTTGGTTTTGTTCTTTTAATGGGATTTGTTAACATTGATGAAAACATTATGACCTGATGAAGATCCAACTAGGATCGAAACATTGTGTGGCATAAAAGTATGCAGGCCTTGCCATTTTTCACTGATACTGTTTTTCTGATAGCCTTGCATCTAAGTAAATGGTAAATGGACCTGTACTTGTATAGCGCCTTTCTAGTCTTCCGACCACTCAAAGCGCTTTTACACTACGTGCCACATTCACCCTTTCACACACATTCACTCAGTGATGGCAAAGTCCATCGAACAGAAACTAACATTCATACACATTCACACACCGATGCACGGCATCGGGAGCAATTTGGGGTTCAGTATCTTGCTCAAGGATACTTCGACATGTGGCAGCAGGAGCCGGGGATCGAACCCACAACTTTCCGATTAAGGAACGACCCGCTCTGCCTCTGAGCCACAGCCACTAAGTGAAGTGCATATAAATACTTAACAATGACAAAAATACAGATCCAAAGGACCCATTTGTTACATTTGTTTATTAAAAAATTGTGTACTGAGCAGGATATTTGAAAAATATACTTGTCAGCACTCTCTGGCAACACTGTTTCTCTTTTTACCGGGTGCCTTCAGACTCCTGCCTTTTCCAATCATCTGATTTCCACACCCAACCTGCACACCTGCTATTAATTCTCTCATCAAGCCCCACCTGTCCCTCATCAACCCCACTCAGTATATACACCCACATACCAACGCTTGTCCTCTACTAAATCGTCCTTGCTGCTGTAACTATAGTGTTCAAGCCTTTGGTCCCACCTGCTTCTGATTCCCAGTTTTTGGATTTCTTTGCTTCTGCTAAATGCTTGCCTGTTGCCAACCTCTGCCTTCCCTTTTTAGTCGAACCAGCTCTGTAATTGAGTCAAAATTTTGGATCCAACACATACCAGTAATGTCACCCAGACCCAACCTCCAAATCATTTAACCAGTCTCACAAACTCCCTGTCAAATGTATAAATGCTTATCATATTGCTGACTTATTAAAAGCACATTGCTTCTCTTTCTCCCCACTGTCACAAGCATCCATTCATTCATTGTGTGTGTGTGTGTGTGTGTGTGTGTGTGTGTGTGTGTGTGTGTGTGTGTGTGTGTGTTTTTAACGGATGGGATGTCAAATGATAAGGCCCTGATGTGCTGGTGTATTTAACTGAATGAGACAAAATGCCTGTATGTCTCTGAGTGGGTCAACTGATGGATGCCAGTGAGAGTGAATGGCTGCGACAGATTGTATCTTTGCTTTGGTGAAGATGAAGGAGTGCAGAGCAGCATCACTATGTTTGTGAGTAAGGACTATGGTAACTATGCAGACAAGTTGCAAAAGGGGTTGAAGACTTTTAGCAGGTCTCTGTCTAACCTCTGAGGTGATGCACCGCCTCCCATCCCACCACCTCCTGACGCACACACACACATTTTCCACTCAACCTCCACGTACACAGTTCTCCTCATCCCCCTCCTCCCTGCAATTTCTCTATGCAGTCTCTGAGTAATGGGGACAGATGGCTGGCAGCTTCTTGCTGTTTCTTCGGGCTCGTCCACCGCCCCTGGTCTCCTGCAACTGATGGCTTGGTTGCAGAGACTCAGACGGAATAGCAATGCTCTCTCTCTCTCTCTCTCTCTCTCTCTCTCTCTCTCTCTCTCTCTCTCTCTCTCTCTCTCTCTCTCTCTCTCTCGGCAAGCTGAGGGGTTATCGGTGGGGGAGAGGAAGAAGAAGGGGAGGCGGTGTGAGATGGTGGGGGAGGTTAGAGAGGGAGGATTACTGCTGACAGAGGAGAAATGCAGTAGACTTGCAAGTGAGGACAACCGCACTGAGTTTGTGATGTAAGGTTGTGTATGTGTGTTTGCTGCAGGTGTGCGTTCATGCATGCTTTCGTTTTCTCCTCTTCTGCCTGTCCCTGCCTGAGGTACTGTATTGTGTAGGTAACACTAACTGTGCAGAGAAGGACATTGCATGCACAGCAGGCTAACCCAGGGACATGCAAAGGAGAGACAAGGAGGAACAGACCTCTGAGCAAGCCAAAAGCTGTCTGTAAGTACAACAATACAATATACAGTAGGTTGTGCATTTATTGGCCTTACAGTATAATTACACCATGTTGAGTAGTTGTTCACACTGACCTATTTATTATTGCTGTCTCTGTGCTGCATTTGATCTGTGTTGCCGTTGCTGTAGTCAGCTACAATAAAGCCAATACTGTTGTGTGAAAAAAAAAAAAATGCTTTAACCACTACTTTGGTTTCAGATGCAATACAGCTTCACAAAGAGTCCATTATTTGACTTTCAAAATCCCTGAAATTTTTAAAATAACAACCCTTGTTCTTTTAACTCCCTATAAAATTCATCTGCCATATTCAGAACTCCAATCAAAGATATTTTAGAACTTCCTGGCACACAAACATCTCACACAAAAAAACAAACTCTGTCACAGAGCTCCTGCATGCAAGCAAATAATCCCCATCATAATAAAATAACCATAAAAATACAAAACAAACGTCTACCAAAGCACCATGTCACACAGTGTACATAATATTCTAACCTTTTTCTGAAAACGAAACACCTTGTACATCTACTCAGTGTGGATATTTTGCCACATGCATAGTGTTGCATGTGCAGAGCCAAATTGAAAGGAACAACAAACATTGTATTACAAAACTACAGAAGTCATAAGAGACAAGCCTTCTTTGTTTAAATGGCAACAATTACTGTAGTAAAATATACTTAGGGATATTGAGTCATAGCACATTGGTATATTCAGTGCATAGCAATTCTCTTTATGTGCCAAACAGATGACACAGCACTACCATTACAGTTCTAATAAAACCTAAAACCATACAATCTCTAGAGGCCATGTAATGGTTATTTGCCTGACTTTGGACATTAGTGGTGACAAAAATGGCAACAGATAGGGAACAAATGCTGTGCTGATCAGATCAAATGGATCTGACTTCATCTATCAAGTTGTACATCATGACCACCCTGACCACCCTGAACTAGCTCTGATTCCATACACCGATGGAAGCTAAAAATAGCTGATGTAATGCCAACAGTGGCTGTTAGCGTCAGTTGGCACCGTGACGCCGGTTGACAGGGTGGATGAAGACAGATGCTGATGATTACAGGTGGCGCGGTGGGGATAATTATGTATAATGTGTGGATATTTGGGACAAAACATTGGGACACAGGGAAAATACGGGATTATGAATTTAAGATAGGGACAGACTAAACAGCTGGGTTTAAGAATGATGACACAGGAATGGGGGATAAAGACATGAACATGAGTTGAATGCTGATAAGCCTTTGGGATGAGAGAGAGAAAAAAATAAAAGACTGAACAGGGTTAGGGATGAATGTGAAGACAGGGAGATAAAGGTGAAGCTGTGAACACGAGATCTCTGGATCTGAAGACAAGCAAACAAGAAGGGGTAGCTTACATCTTGGGTTTTTCCAGGTGACTGTGGGCTCAGGCCGACCCACTGCCAGACAGAAGAGGTTTACATTCTCTCCTTCATTCACCGACACGTTTTTTGAGATGTTGACGATTCTTGCCGGCACTGAAAAACAAGATGAGGCGATTAAAATATGACCTCAAAATAACCTTTTATTTCATACATTATTGATAGGGTATGGTCCTGCAGCCTATTAAGGTGTTTAAAGTATGATGCAAATCCCTGCACCTAAGACAGACAGGCAATCAGTTGATTAATGATCTGTGCCCGAGTGCTTACTGAACTGTGCAACAATATGCTTGACCGTCTACTTAAAATGCACTGAATTCTAAATGGCTGTAAATGGGCATTAAAATCTCCATCTCCTGACATCTAATCTAATTTTTCAAAAAAAGGACATTTTTAAAAGCGATAGAATCTTTACTTCTAATATTGAAGTAAAGGACCACCCCTGAATATAGTTTTTGCCCCGAACTCAGTATGTGTGTAGTTAGTTTGATAACAAGATGGCCCTTGAATTTAAATGGCCCATTATCATTGTTTTTAATGAGCTTGGCCATGAGATTGCTTTTTTTTTGTAAGACATCTACAGAGGATCCTATTTTTCTCTATCTTGCTGGGGTTGAATACTTGCAGCGATAAAGCACAGATTGGAGTGGCGGTGAAGCTATTCCTGCTTGATGCACTGACTTGAGGGTGTAATTATTTTGTGTGATATCAAGCTAGGGCTGAAATTGCAAGCGTCTTGGAATTAGGTATATATGGTCATCTGTGCCAAGCTTTGGACCCTGCAGACACGAGTGTTTGTTTGGCCGCAGTGCGATGTGAAAACTCTGTTAGTAAGCGGCTAACATTGTCCCTGCCACCTGTGAGCTGTGAGCTGGGTCTCGTGTTTTTCGTTCCAGCAGAATGTTCCTAATATATCCTGTTAAAAGTTTTCAGTTTCACCCTGCTGGTGATGAATAACTGCAATCTGCACTACACACAGTCCAAAATATGCATAAAAACTGACACATGCAGGGGGAAAAGGTCTGAGATCCAGCCTCTGGGCGTCCTTGGCCAATACATCGTGTCACTCAGGATCAGTCAGACTCTCACTCACTTAGCTGCTGACTTGATGACTGAGCCCCAGTCGTGGTCCTGCACTGTGAGTTATTTAGTCAGGCAGTTGGACAGCCTCCCTGTGTACCTCATCTCCTCCACACACACACACCCTCATCCATCTGATCTGCCTAACTTTCTGTTTATTAAGAAAAGTAACCCTAACTGGCCCCATGGAAATAACAAATGGGCATGGACTCCAGCCTTCTTATTGCACCCGACTTTCATGTTATCTGTCACCTGCATTAGGCTTGCTTTACTGCAGCCACACACACACACACACACACACACACACACACACACACACACACACACACACACACACACACACACACACACACACACACACACACACACACACACACACACACACACAGGCCAACCAAGCTTTCAAGACGTAATCAAGTAATTGCATTCTGATATAACCATAACTACCAACCTTAAATAGTCAAACATCATAAAAACATTAACTACTAAGTTGTCTGTCATACATTTAAGCATGATTTAACAGAAAAGGAACATTGAAAAGTAACCATAGCAAATCTTAATTGCTTCCTCTGATGTCAAACCTCGATCACACCTAATAGACAGCACTACACTTGGATGAATTGACGAAATGCATAATTAAGCCATTTAGCAGATGTTTTTTTTATCCAAGGCTGCCTTTAGTACCATGGGTGCACACATATTTCTTTTGCAGTCGCAGTGGCAACCAAATCTGCAGACTCTGGATATATTAAAGAGATGGGCCAGCGCAGTAAACTCTTTAAAGTCACTTACAGAAGATTTCAACTCTCTTTCAACTCGGCTACTTACCTTGGACAATGAGGTAGACGTGGGCGATGCGGGGCTTGTTATTGGCCTGGAAGGTGCAAGTGTAGGGCCCCTCATCGGTTATTTGAACCTTGTCGATGTGGATGGAGAAGTCACTGTTGTTACTGTTGGCCAGTGTCACACGCTTGTCCAGTGACCACTTGTCTGTCCCCGTGAATAGGATGTTAGAGCGGTTCAGCCAGGCCTTGTGGGTCACCTCCTCGTCGATCCGACATCTGTGAGGGGACAGGAGGTTTAAGGTTGATACTAAATACTGTGGCGAGGTGTTTTATCATTGGTATAGATATAAAAAAGGGTGGGCATATCAATGGAATAAAACTACATTGAGTGTCTCAGTACAGTGTTAAATATCCAGGAGCCACCAGAAGAACGTCACTGCACCTCTTTAAGTTTATTGAAGGGACAGGACACCATTCTGACAAAGGCCTCCTCGACCAACACAGGAAAATACAGCCTTATATGTAAACCTAATGTAACTTTGGAAATCATTTACATTCCTCTGAACCTACTTCATCTCATGCCTAGTGTCCTCCAAGGGATCCTCCATAGGTCACTGCTACCTTACATATCCTGGAGCCAAAATTATTACTAGATGTGTGGCTGTCACAATAATGAATGAATATCATAAACGGATACAAAAATATCTCTACACAGTACATAAAACTTTTATCAACTACATCCTAACGATCTGCATTCATTATCTCTACAGTATGAAACAGTGATGATTTATACATCAGTGCTTTTACACAGGTGGAGCAAAATGGGTCAAATTCTAAAAATCAGTCGCAGGCAAAGCATTGCATGAGGAGTGGTCATATTTCATTCTTCTCTTCTAAGCTGCTTTTTGTCTGTAAGTAACTTAATGCAGTCCATAATACATACATAAGTCCAGATGTATATCAACTGGACATTTGCCAAAATCAGGCCGTGAAATCACAATTCAAATTATTGGCAAAAAAAATAAAAAAATTCAGAAATAGAAACACATGTAGTAAAAGTACAGTTAAATATTACAATGGAGTGATGATTAAAGCACAGTATCACTATTGCTGTTCCAAAGGGATGTGGCACGCTTCAGAACAGCAACCATGTCCCAAAGGTGTGACTTCAGTTCTTGGCTTGGCCACTAGATGTCCTTGCCCAGCTTCAACTAGCTTTGAGGACATGCCTCTGTAGTGCTCATGTTTAATTGATATGACCTGTATAAATATCACTGTTGAGGTTGATCTTAGATCACCTGCCAAGTCAGTGGCAGTGATACCACAATGCATAACAACCACAGTGCAGGTAAGCTTGGAAATCTTTAACAAATAGGCTACAAGGCACTGGTCTGAGGTTTAGGTTGACACATAACCTAAGGGCTAAACCACTTCTAACAGCTTAGGAAATAAAGGAAAAGGGGAAAAAAACATTATTCTGATTTAAGATTCAGCTTGTGACTGGTAGGCTTAAATAAAGAGACAATATAATAAGAAAATTCCACCACAAAAATTCATTATCTGTGTACCAACGTTCTATTAATCTATTTTTAAAATTAATCACTTCTGCACTGATGATGTTGCTACAGGACTGCAAGCCCAGAGGAAATGAGCACCATAATAGCATCAAATGTGCCTTGTCTTAATGGCCCGCATCAAAGCCAACACAACAGCCTTGTCTAAAGCGTAACACAAGTATTTGTGCCACTTGGGCAAAAGTGATTTTACATGAAAATGGAGTTTATTTATAAAGCTCTTTAGTTATTTGTTTGTCAGCTATTGGCTGCCGAGTGCCAACTAAACATACGCACACACACGCACACACACACGCACACACACGCACACACACACACACACACACACACACACATATCTGATCTGATCTGATCTGATCTGATCTGATCTCTACTGATGAAGCAGGTCTGTGACATAAAATCAAACTTCCACAATATTCCAATATATGTAGTGCTGCAACTACAGTTTAAGCAGTGGTTCCTAACCTGGGGGTTTGGATGCCCCAAGCGGTTGAAAAACCTAAAGGGGTTGTGAAATGGAACAGGGGAGCAAAGCAGCAAAATATATATTCTGCCACAAAATACTGTTTATTTTTTCAAACTTTGATTTAATCTTTTAGTTGTTTTTTTTTGTGAGTTACTAGAAATTGGAAATTGTTACATCTTTGAGCTTCTAAAAAGTATTCAGATAAAACAAAGTCAGACTGAATAATCCACCTGAAACCTGTATTAAATCAAACTATAGTTTTTGTTTTAAGTCGTCAAAAGTCATAAAGGCTGGGAACTACAGGTTTAAACTACAATTAATATGACGTTTTAAAAAAATGTTGAAATAAGAAAGAGATTACTGTAATGTAACATTACTGCACAGCTTTCCTGATACCAAACTGTAAAGGTGACATTAAAAGTGCAGATTTTGCCAGCTAGGCTCATTCAGCTTGGAGTTTTAGGGTTAAAAAGATGCCAAATAAGTTCTATAGATCCGACTTCTCCACAGAGTCAATAGAACAGCTTCAGGCTACACGTCTTGATGACATTATAGATCAGCATCCTGGTTCTTTGATTTCCAACTTTGAGAGAGAACTGTTGATGTTAACAAATATTGACAGAACTGTACTTGGCTTCAGAATAACATATTTGATTTTAGGCGAAGACCCACTCTTCTTTCAAGGGGAAAAAAAAGGGACTAAAAGAGGAATTTGCTCTGAGATCTGGTGAGGTGTAGGCTTAAAGGTGATGAAAGTAATGTTGACTTAGAATTTTTTTTGTTTTGCACTGCTGAGTGTTCTGCCAAGCCAGGTCATATTCACACAAGGGGAAAAAGCAAGTTGGCTGTTTTTCTGCTTCGTTGGGAGCCGGTGGAAAGCTGAGTTCTACTTTTATCACTCACAGTTAGGCAGGTGTTGTTGGACGCAGAGGAGGGTCCACCAACCAAACTGCAGCCTCGTTGTTACATTTAAGGAAAAGGGGATTGCAGACAGATGGGATGACTGAAGCGATCTGACCGGTATTATGATTCAATTAGCAATAGGATGCTGGAAAATATGGCGTCCAAGTGAAGTTATGTGACAGAGAATTGGCAATTAAAGCTGTGTGACAGGTGGGAGGAAAAATAAACATGTTTTTCATGTAATTAGTAGGTGCAGGTGTAGGATCAAGAGTTACCTCAAAGTGACGCTTTCTCCTTCCAACACTGTAATGTTGTCCGGCAGGTGTCCGAATTCTGCTCCGTGCACACTGGACCCTGCCAAGAAAAACAAGAGAAGAGACCAGTGAGCATTCAATACTGGCACCAGACACTCCAACACGCTGCTGTTCATCAATCTCAGGTTAGGTGCTTGAGGATCGACTACCTCACCAAATCAGTTTGGGCGGGGATGTGCTCTGCATCCTGCTTACTTATTTCTGAAAGGAAAGTAATAAATATACTAAACAAAAGAGTCACAATGTCTGCACTGACCCCCATACTTGAATAATGATTTGGTTTTACCCTGCATTCTGGTGGGGTGCGCGTTCATTGAACAGCACTGATAATGAGCCAAGGGAAGAGGATTCACGCGGAGCTGCCGGAGCGTGAAATGAAGGGACAGCGACGGTAACAGAAGGGATGCTCATCCTGCCTACCAATACACACACACACACACACACACACATACACACACACACACACAAAAACACTTGGAGAAGCGAGGCACATGCTTACAAAAGCACAAACATACACAAGAACAGACACATCCTGAGAGCCATTAGTTGAAGAGGAAATACGAACTTTGCATGTGTGAGATGTGTTTGAGACACTCAAAAATAGTTTGAAGTCATTTTTGTGAATTTGCTTGGACTGCAGACAAAGATAACCAAAGACCTTATATGCTGGCAGTGATATTTTCCCACTGAGGCAGACCGCTCCCCACTAACATACCTGGCTCTGTCCATCTAAACTCTGCCAAATAACAGCATGACACCAGATACCTCAGCTTGTGTCCTCCCTCTATCTCCGACAATCTCTTTCTCCCTCTGCCTGCAAGATGACCTCAATATCACAATAGGCTTTTGCTGTGGTCTAGCCTTGAGGTTTAATAAATGGTGACTTTATGAAACGAAGCCACTGCAGTGAGGAGCTAAGAAGCACCTCAAGGTTTGTTAAATAGCTGCACAAAGTCAGACATGTTAAGCAAGCCAAATGAGAATCCACTAAGAAATGAGACCCAAAATGACAGCAATGCACCATTTAATGGAGAGGAAGTGTGGGTTTTGAATTAAAGTCAGTCTTTGTGGAATCATAGTTTGATTACAAAAAATAATGAGAGAAGCTTCAGAATTATAATGCACATCATGGATTGCTAATCAAAAGGTTTTTCAAACTGCATAGTAGAAAGTCCTGTGAATTGCCAACTACACTAAATAATAATTCATCATCTCTTAAATAAAGACTAATTATACTTGTTCTCTTTTTCTCTGTGTTTGTGAATGTAAGACGGTGGTTTGGCATATCTGTGTGGATATACCATGGTAAATATAGGTTATATTCATGTTTAAGTATTTATATATTCATGTGTGATGCGTGTGTGTGTGTGTGTGCATGTGTTGCTCATGGTTGCGTATACAAGCAGTTTAATTTCTGTTGCTTATGGGAGTGAATGTGTACGTTTGTTTGCTGACATACCGGTGGAGAACAAGAAAAGAGGACAAACTAATGACGCCTCAAAAGAAAACTGGCCCTGAAAATCTCCCGCTAAAAGCTGTAATCGCATTAATGGGTGCTGCTGCTGCCACTGCTGCTGTGCTATCTAGGCCGGCCAAGGATCCCAGAACTCACTCTCTCTCTCTCTCTCTCTCTCTCTCTCTCTCTCTCTCTCTCTCTCTCTCTCTCTCTCTCTCTCTCTCTCTCTCTCTCTCTCTCTCTCTGAAAGCTTCAGGGAGGGGCGTAGCACATTAACCATTGTGTCCAATGTTCAAAAACTGTCACAAGCTTTCCTTTATCTGTTTTTTTTACTACAGAGTAACATTGCATAGCACTGCTATGTTCATGAATCCTGTCTTAGACTCCGACAGTCCTCAGCTCAAGCCCTCAGCTGTTCCCTTTCAAGTACTCTGTACTCCACACACTACACTTTATTTAGGTTAATTCAATTCAGGTCCAAGGCTTGGGGGCTCGGAGACGGTGTGACATGCTGTCATAAATACACACTACCCCACATACACAATTACAGGCATACACATAGAGAAAAGACGCTCCCTATCACATAATGTTACCACAGGGACAACCACGTAACACACACATTTTGATTGAATGAATGATGAATGCATACGCTGAATGCTCCAAACAACATTGCGAAGGTTACAAACCAGCGGGGAGCTATTCCCATTTCCCTACTCAATTCCCATTTTCACAGCTCGATTGGCACCTCGCATTCTAAAACCTGTATCACCCTGCCTCCACTCCCAGGCGCCATACAACATGATAACCAGGTCAACGCATTCAGCCCACACTTCCTCTCACACACTAAATCACAGGATCAATCACAAATGCAAGTTTACACACAACACACACACGTACGCAAACACACTCATCGATGAGCCAAACCAGCGGAGAAGAAGGTTTGTCAGAGTTCATTTTGACAACAAACACAGCAAAGATCCACTTTACAAATGTGACTTCATCAAGACACACAAAGTCGAAATGCACACACATACACAAATATTTAGCATCCACTTTCCCTGATTTATGCACACACCCACTACTGCATGGGTCTCTAACAAATTGTTTTGGGCCCACTGCTGCTATTGTCATTTCATAGGAGGGCCACTAATATCATACTTGTAAACAGTATTTTCATGTCATTATCTTATATAATCTTTGTTGTTTAACGCCAAACAACCTGACCTGCTCTTGCCAAACGAAATACATTTTTAAAAATAGAACTGTATTTTTATTTGATATGAAGAGATGGTTTAAATTGATGTGAACATCTTGTGGGCTGATTATATTATATTATATTATTGAAAATGGGGATGGAGGGCTGGAAATGGCCGGCAGTTTGAGGTCCCTGCACTACTGTATAACCCTTTCTGACCTCTTTTACTCCCTTTGAATGCATAGTTTACAGTAAAAGAATTGCTTTGACCTTGTCAAAGGTAAGGGTGATCACTAAAACGAAGAATGTGTGTAAATCAACAGTTTATGTAGGACAAACAAACAGGACCAGCATCTGTATTTGAGAGATGGGAGACCACCTCTGTCCTGACGTACAAGTGTCCTCAGGACAATACTGGGGTTCCTTCTCTTCCCCTAGAGGGTAAAGTCTGGCGTAAGAAGCAAACATATATTATTTTCTTGACAGCTGGACTACTTTATTTTGGCAGCAAGATAATATCAAAAACCCAATGCAGACCACGATGTATACAAGCCAAGGAACGTCGACTGGCTACTTGCCTAACTGGCTATAGATTTATAGTTAAGAGCACATTGGATCTGTACCAAGATTTCACTGCAATCCATCCGATAGTTGCTGAGATATTTTAGTCTGGGCAAAACTGTGGACTGACTGACCGACACTGCCATCCCTAGAGCCATGCTGCTAGAGAGGCTAAATCTATTTTTCATTATTTCATTATTGTTTTTTATTTTACCTTTATTTAACATTCACAATGAAAAACACAAACCTTGTGGTAGACATTTTTCCTGCAAGTTTGATTATAATTTGTTAGTTTAACAGCATTATTTGATCACTTTTTGGGTTAAAATGCTATGATGAACATCTGATGCATTACCCAACATTTAGGATCACAGGATTCTGTTATGAAAATGGCCAAAGCAATCAAATAAAATAGAATACTGAAATGGAGGTAAATGGTTAAGTGTGCATCTGCAGCATCTCATTAATGGGAGAGTGGGAGTGTTGGGTGTAAAACAACAAAACGTAAACCTCATCTGGCTGAAAGACAGCATGTGTCTCCCACCCTTTGATGTAATCCACATTATTTATCCCTGTCAGGCAATTAATTCAAATGTTGCCGGCCAAACACAACGGACATGATCAAACAGAACAATAATGAGTCCAGAGTGCAACCAGCAGTGTGCTTTCGCCATCACTTTCAGTTTCTTGGTTACTTTTGGTTCTATTGATCCCCATCTCAAATTCTGCCTTTTTCTCTGCTCCCCCCTGGGGCTCAGCATGCAGGACGAAGAACTGCGCCCACCAGGAGGATTCAGGAGTCTTGCCCATTGACACTCTAGAAAGGAGGGTGCTTGCCAATAGGGAAGCTTAAACCACCGGCTACCCTGCAGACTCTAAATATGGAACACAAAAACAATGTGAATCCCCCCCCAAAAAAAGCTTTTTGTCTGTAATGCTTTAGTAAACTACTTTACTAAAACAAAAGTGGGTTTGTTTATGAGAGGAAAAAAAAATCCTGAGACTATATAAAACACAACTGAGCTGAGTATGACTATAGAAATGATAAATAACCATGTAAAGCACGGTTAGTGGTGAACACTGCAGTGGCCCCTGGTGCTGGTGTGGAGACGAGCATATTAAATTACCCCTGCTCACTGTTGTCTGCAGCAGATGCAGTCTGCGCTGGCTACTGGTATCTCGTGTCCTTGCTATGACCTGCTGTTTTGGCACAAAAATGGAACTCCCATCTCCATACCATATACACACACACACACACACACACACACACACACACACACACACACACACACACACACACACACACACACACACACACACACACACACACACACACACACACACACACACACACGCTGTCCAAATAACCCCCTTCAAGCCTTTGTCTGCGCAGTATTGAGCCTCAGGTCAGTGACATTTTTAAAAGAATAAAATTTTATGGACATGCCTGAGGGACTACACACAGGAAAACACAGGACTAGTAGACCATCAATTCACCTATACTGTAGGTCTTTTCAGCTGTTATACACCTTGCAAAAGCAGAAATCTGTTTTACTCATCTGTGGATAACACTTTATCTCTTGCTGGCCCATAGGTAGACATTTACATAATTCCCTCCACTTGTGGTCCAGCGCTTTTGTCCCTGTGCTCTCGTGCATTGTGTCTTTTGTCTGTAGAAGCGTTGTAACTCAGTACTCACGAGACATCTATTATGTGATTTGTATTCTCTTGACTTTTACATGCGCCGGTTTGTAATTGCACTTGCTACTGGCAGACACTTATGAGTAGAGCTCTATTGAGCTGTACAACTTTAGCCTGCGTAGTCCTT